GGAGGTGCCCAGATGAGGCCCAGCTGTGAAGCAATGCAAGCTGCTGTGGGGCCTTGGGCCTTCTTTTGGAAGTTCTGACCCAGCTGCAGTTTGTTAGGTAATTTTCAGATTGCACAGGGCCAGGCCATTCATATGCAAGAGCCTCTGTGCACAGCTTGGGTGGGGCAGGGTTTCAGGGGATCAACAGGGCGGAGCAAACAGCTATGGCTACCCTAAGAGGCCCCGAGCCTCAGTGTCCCGGTAATCGCTGCAAGCACCTCTGAGAGAAAACCGCCCTCGAGTTCCTCCTGCTGCCAGACAGTCCAGTTTCTCCCCGTATGAGTCTGGGTCCCCAGAGACTCACCCAGAACTGGAGTTCAGAGCAGTCGGGAGCTTGAGACTCCCTCCTGATTGAAAAAGACAACGGTGTCCTCAGCTGCCAGCCCTTTCCACGTGCGCCTCCGTACCTCTGCACTTTACTTCTGCGCCTCCTCTGAGTCTCAGTGTGCTTTTCTCTTTCCTTCTAGTTATAGAATTTCCACTCAGCTAGCCTTCCTGTGGTTCTGGATGATGTCCGTTTTGTCTTTTAGTTGTATCTTTGAAGTGGTTGTGGGAGGCAGCAATTTCTGGTGTTTACCTATGCCACCATCTTGGTTTACTCTCCAGGCAAGTTTCTTGTATGCACCCCTTTAAGATCAGACCAGTGTGTCAGAGCAAATGTCTATGCACTAGAAGGTAAGGAGCTGGAGTTCTATCTGAGGAAAATCAAGGCTCAGAAAGGCAAATAACTCCTCCTCCCTCTTATCTTAGCTCATGTAATAAAGGTGTTTATTGTTCTAAAAGAACAAAAAAAGAAAGAAAGAAAAGTGGGAGAGCAGCATCCTGTGTAGCCAGCATAACTATCCAGGTTGTTGGTACATCCTGACAGTGGAGACAAATCCAAATTACAATCTTATGTCACAATCATTGATAGCACATAAGTAGCTTCCTCTGCCTTGATTCTGTATTTACCGGGCAACTTTCCAATTTATGGCTTGTGTCCTAAGTCTTTTTTCCCCTTCTTAGGGAAAATGCTTTAACAAGTCAAGGCAAGCATCTGAACCATTTAGTTATTTTCAAGCATGCAGTCCCCCCTCCCCTGCCACCTGTAGGACCATCCCTTAGGGCAGCAGTTCTCAACCTGTGGGTGGTGATCCCTTTCACAAGGGTCGCCTAAGACCATTGGAAAACACATATATAATTACATATTGTTTTTGTGATTAATCACTATGCTTTAATTATGTTCAATTTGTAACAATGAAATTGGGGGTCACCACAACATGAGGAACTGTATTAAAGGGTTGCAGCATTAGGAAGGTTGAGAATCACTGCCTTAGGGAAATAAAGGATTATGACACATCACACTATGTGTCATCTTTCTCTACCTATAATTTAAACAAGATCTGAATAGTGAAAGACAGTATGTGTATGTATATGCTTATGTGTGACACAAAGTAACAGTGTCACAGAGACATAGGGTAAATTTCAGAGAAATGGCAGATTCCATCATTCTGACCCTAACATTTGTCTACTGTTTGGTAATATTTTTCACACAAGATAGTCTTTACCTCAGCGGAAGAAAATATTTAAGCAATTTAGCTTAAGATAAGTTTCATGTCTACAGTATGGTGAATATAACTTGTTTGGAAGTCTGGTTCTGCCTCAGCTTCCTATTCTCTAAAATGCTTGCTCTATTTACCTCATCAGGATGGTTGTGAAGTTAAATTTGATATTAGAATCAGGGTGAAAAGCACCACACAGTTGTGAAGTGTTACTGTTATTACTATTATTTAACAGGGAGTAGTACTTCCCTCAATAAGAATTCCAGCACATATTCTACAACTTCCAAAGCTTCCTTTTCTCTAAGAGAGTCCTGTTGAAAACTGTTTTTTGATAGTTGTTATCTTTTGTAACTCCTCAGTATTTCCTCACCCCCTGCTTTGATTATTACCTTTTTGGGGACAAAAACATAGACTTATTCATTCATCATTAAACTTTTTTGAATATTTCTAATGGGTCAGGCAAAGTGTCAGACCTCTGAGGATACAACGAGACAGATGCATAAACAGATAATTAGAATATGTGGGTAAATATAATGATAGAGTAATAGGCTTAGGATATTACGGGAGTGTGGAGAGCTGACACCCAAGGGCAATAGGCAGAGTTAGGAAAGGCTTTCCTAAGGGGAAAACTATAAACTGAATAAGTCAGTGGTACTTATGGCTGCAAGGAACAGACCTCCTGGCTAAGGATGGTTGAAGCTCTAAGACTATTTATTACTCACTTAAAAAGCCCAGAAACAAATAGGTGTATCTAATAACTGGATGTCATCAAAGACAGGTTTCTACTTATCTCTCTTCTCTGTGATCCTTGGTGTATTATCTTTCTGTCCTGTGGATATCAACTCTTTGTTGCCAAAGATGGCAGTAACTCCAAGCACCATATAACACATCAAGGCAGAAAGAGAAATTTTAGTTCTAGTCCCCCCGGTTGGAAACAGGAAGGAAGGGAACTGGGGAGTAGGAAGGTTTTCATTTCATATAGTTTTTATTTTGTAGGAGATAAAGCAGAAGCAGCCATACACTATTGGCCCTGGATCTTTGTACATATTGTTCCTTCTGACTGGCAACCATGGTCTCTGGAGACCTTCCCACTTACTGTATCTCAGTACCTAGTTATAGTACCTGGCGCATAGTAAGTAGTCAGCAAATGTTCTTGAAAGCAGGCAGAACAAAAGTAGAGACAGTTGAACACAACAAGCAAGTGATCTCCCAAAAATGTAGTCTCAAATCAGGGGAGTAACAAGGCCATTATAATACAGAATGGTAAGCCCTGGCCAGTGCAGTCAGTGGTTAGACTCAGAGCATTGGACTGGGCACTGAAGGGTTTCAGGTTGGATTCCCAGTCAAGGGCACATACTTGGGTTGTGGACCAGTCAATGTGTCTCTCTCACATTGACATTTCTCTCTCTTCTCCTCCCACCCTCCTCCCTTTCATTCTCTCTGAAAAGCAATGGATAAAATATCCTCAGGTGAGGATTAACAACAAGAACAAGAAGAATGGTAAGCCCTGGCCAGTGTGCTCAGTTGGTTGGGCAGGCATCATTCCGTGCACCTAAAGGTTGTTGGTTTGATTCTCCATCAGGGTATGTTCCCAGGTTGCGAGCTGGATCCCCAGTTGGGGGCGTGCAGGAGGCAGCTAGTCAATATTCCACTCTCACATCGATGTTTCTCTCCCTCTCCCTTCCTCTCTCTCTAAAATTCAATAAATTATATTTTTAAAAATATATTTTTTACTGATTTCATAGAGGAAGGGAAAGGGAGAGAAAGAGAAGAAACATCAATGATGAGAGAATCACTGATTGGCTGCCTCCTGCAACCTCACACTGGGGATCAAGCCTCCAACCCGGGCATGTGCCCTGACCAGGAATCGAACCATGACCTCCTGGTTCATAGGTTGACGCTCAACCACTGAGCCACACTGGCTGGGCTCAATAAAATATTTTTTAAAAAACAACAACACAAAATGGTAAGTGCTAGGATGTTGTTAATTATAAGATACATTGAGAGCACATGGGAGTCAGAGAAGATAGCTTTTAAAGTGTGATTGTTTAAGCTGAGTCCTAAAGGACAGTAGAAATAACTAAACCCAGAAGGAAAGAAAATCTTCGGTTTGTACTTTAATTGACACAACATAAAGTAAATATAATCCTCTTTGGGGAAGGAAGGACCTTGAAGAGATTCTAGTGAGAAAAAAAGGAAGTATAAATAGTAACTGATTATATAGCATCCATTATTAATTTAAGATTTCTAAAAATTTGTATTTCCTGTACTTATTTAATTTTAGTGAAAAATAGCAAAAATCCAAGACTTTGCCCTAACCGGTTTGGCTCAGTGGATAGAGCGTCAGCCTGAGGACTCAAGGGTCCCAGGTTTGATTCCGGTCAAGGGCATGTACCTTGGTTGCGGGCACATCCCCAGTGAGGAGTGTGCAGGAGGCAGCTGATCGATGTTGCTCTCTCATCAATGTTTCTAACTCTCTATCCCTCTCCCTTCCTCTCTGTAAATAGTCAATAAATATATTTTTAAAAATCCAAGACTTTAATTTTCTTATAATGTCTTAAATTTTTTTTCACTGTTTTCAGCATCTCTTACTCTGAAAGTTTTCAGGCATCTAACTCTACATTAAAACTAATACATACATATTTTGCAATAGCATGTAAAATGGAGGTTTTGGCATAACAGAAGAGGTGCCTGTATATTAAATACAGGATGCCTAGTTAAACTTGAATTTCAGATAAAAAATGAATAATGTTTAATATAAGAATACAATTGCATGGACTATACTTATAGTACTAAATCATTAGTTGCTTATCTGAAATTCAAATTTAATTGGGTGTCCTATATTTTTATTTGCTAAATCTGGCAACCCTAATAATAGATACCAAATTCCAAAGAGAAGTGCTAAACTAGGATTTACAAAGTAATTGACTCTTAATCTCTAACTCACTCTGAGTGTATGAAATCACCAAGTGAGAACCTGGTTTAACAGAATTTGGAAAGATGGATCCATGTCACCCACCTTCCCTATCCTTCAGTATATCCTGGGATATAAGCACTTAATTTATCTCAAGTTGGGCCTAGATATGGCAGCTGCATTTAAGGTATGTTACTGAACCATGAGGTAGACAAAAGCATACTACTATGGGTTTTCTGGTACTTTCAATAATAAAATCCCAATAATAACGGATGGAATTCAAAGTGGACTAATCTAGTGTTAGATTAGGTTTCGTGGTATTATAACTGGTTGCTTTGTTCATATTATTCCATAGTGACATCTGCAGGCCTCCGGAGAGAAACACTAAAACAACTAATAGTTTTGGTAACTCCTTGGTGCTGTAAGAGAAAGTTAAGTTGGGTGGGGAGGAGGTGGGGAGCCATTTGACCAAAAGCCCAATTATCAGAGTGTTTCGAGTGCTTAACTTACTGTGATTGAATGGATGCAAGAGATTTTCTGAAGGAAGACTGAACATCTAACTGGAGCAGCATGGGAATAGGTGGGTACCCACCCAGCTGGGCCCACAGTGAATGTAGTGATGTCTTCTCAGCTATTGGGTAGCTTGAAATGGACTGATCAGCATTCCAGATGGTTGCCATCTGGTCTTCTTGTCTAGAGAGTCAGAGAGCACTAATTGAAATCACCAAACTCTGCTGCACTCCATAGGCAATCAAAAGATATGATTCTTATTCTCCCCTTTTTTCTTCACCACCACCACCCTGTCCTATAATGCCCTCCCTCACACTGAGGAACATTAGCCATGCCCACTTTGACTGAGAAATGAATTAAAACGGCAGAATTTGCTGAAATCGTCCCACCTCCCCCTAAAAAAGCTGCATTTCCATGATTTTACCTAGTAATCCATTTTAAAACTGCCTTCTTAGCTGCCTGGATTACTGTATATGGACCATATCCAGAAAACTTTTTTCTTTTTTCCCAGCAACAATCTTTTTCCTCTTCCTTCCCAAAGCTCCTACTTTTTTTTTTTAAAGTTATACTTCTAAGTTTCTTCATTGTGTATTAATTTGCTGCTTAGTAAGAAAGAATCAGCTTCTTTTTAAAAAGGGAACTCAACATTGGATATTAGATGTTAAGTAGGAATATATATAAATAAGCCTCTTGTTAAATTAGCTAAGAAAATTAATAATCCTTAGACTCTCCACTATACCATATTATAATTGTCAGGGAGGGGAAGATCTTGGGCAGAAAAAAAAGCATACCATCCAAAAAAAGTTTAATGGCAGTCTTTCCTACCACATACCTAAATTTCTTGAATATGTCAAATTTTCTGTCCTCTTTCACTAGTAGCTCTAGGAATGGCTGTTGAATAAATTTGGTAGGGGCAGGTTTCTGCTTTTTGTCGATGAGCAAAGGTACAGGTTGACTAAGATTCAATTGATACATATCTTGGAGCTAAAAATAAATAAATAAAAGAGGAAACAATTAAAAGAAAGGGCCAGAATCTTCAGGAAGGTCTTCTGAGCTGGCCCTCGCTTAACTACAAGCATGACGCTTCATTTATCATGGATTTGCAAATCCTATTTCTCCAGTCTCCTCCCCTTCTCCAACTACTACTCCTCAACCTCCACCCCACCTCCAACACAATTTCAGTGGTGGCCGCTATGATATATATAAACCTAGCTCCTGCATAAGCTCTGATCCTAGCCCTTTCATCTCCTAGCTGTGTGACTTTGAGTTAGTTGCTAACTTTATCGATACCTCTTTCTCCTTATTCTATGAGGGTAATAACACAGGGTTGTTGTAAGAATTGTAGAACATAATATATATGGGAGCACTTCATAAATTGTAAGAACTATGCAAATGCAATGATAGCAAACATTTACTGAATCCTTGCTGAATGTTAGATGCTTTCTACATAATAATTCATTTGATATTTACAACAACCTTATGAGAAAGGTGCTGTTATTGTCCTTGTCTTATACATGGGGATTTGGAATTCAGAAAATTTAAGTGGCTTGTTCATGGTCTCCTAGTTTGTATGTAGTGGAGCTGATTTGAACCCATGTAGTCTGGTAGCAGAACTAACTTCTTGACCACCACCCTGACTCAGTGAAAGGTATTTATTTCATTTCTATCCTCTTCTCTCTTTTGCTTTTTCCTCCCTCTTCTTTATGCCTTGATACCCACCTTATCATCTAGAATCAGCCGTGGGCAAACCCGTTAGAAATGAATAAAACTAAAAAAAAAAAAAAGACCGTACCCTTTTATGTAATGATGTTTACTTTGAATTTATATTAGTTCACACAAGCAATCCATCCATGCTTTTGTTCCAGCCCACCGGTCCAGTTTAAGAACCCATTGTGGGTCAAAAAGTTTGCCCACCCCTCAATTCTAGATTAAGGCTGCCTTGCTCTAACCGGTTTGGCTCAGTGGATAGAGCGTCAGCCTGAGGACTCAAGGGTCCCAGGTTCGATTCCGGTCAAGGGCATGTACCTTGGTTGCGGGCACATTCCCAGTAGGAGGTGTGCAGGAGGCAGCTGATCCATGTTTCTCTCTCATCGATGTTTCTAATTCTCTATCCCTCTCCCTTCCTCTCTGTAAAAAAAAAAAAAAAAATCAATAAAATAGATTAAGGCTGCCTGGACCCCAGACCCTATTCATCCTCTGACATGCCCTAGATATTGTGATTCCTGTTAGACAGTTCATGACACTGCCAACTGATCTTGCTTTCCACTTACATTGGCCATATTTTCCAAGCAATAAACTGTCAAAAATATCCTTCTTTTTTTTTTTTTTTTTTTTTACAAAGATCTTTAATACTTAAAATGTAGCCCTTCTGGAAAATTCAGAATATGTCTGATTTGAATCAGGCTATGATGAGAAGTTTCTGTACCTTCTAAAGTAGCAAGTAAACTGATCTTATTAAGTAACTAAATTACTTAATTTAGTGAAAGAAAAGGATATATAGATATAAAATGTTTCTAGAATTCCCAGGATGTTCCAGAATTTTGTGCTAGAACATGTAATGGGAGCATGTAATCCAGAGCAAAGTGCTCTAATCTCACCTTTATAACTTTTTGGAAGGTCATCTCAGAGGGGGCTCTGGGACATAATGAGTGGATTGTTAGAGTTAAACAGGGTTTTCTCTGCATGGTGCTATGTAAGCAAGTTAAATAAATCCTTATCTCCTTTCCTGTAAACTCACCAAATTAAAGCTTGCTTTCTGATAGTTGTGAGGAAAGGAGTAACTGTCATGAATCAGTTGGAGAGAAGTGACTTCAAGAGAGGCTGGTAGATGTGGGTTGACTAGGAATGAGTTGAACACTTCTAGAAGTCTCTCCTATTCTAATCTTTTCTCATCTAGAAAGTCCAGCCAGTATTCCTGTTGTCAATTTAGGAGTTTCACTGAAGTCACAGTGTAATTGATTGAATGGTGAAGCCCCAGAAGATATGTTCACCCAGAACCTGTGAATGCGACCTTATTTAGAAAAAGGGTCTTTACAGGTGTAATTAAGTTAAGGATCTCAAGATGAGATCATCCTGGATTAACCAGGTGGGTCCTAAATCCATGACACATGACTTTGTAAGATTCAGAAGTGAAGACAGACAAGCTGGGAAAGGGGCTAAGGGAAAAATGAATGCAGAGGATAGCGGTTATGCAGCTACAAGTCAATGAATGCCAAAGATTGTCTATAGCTACCAGACTCTTGGAGAGAGACATGAAATACATTTCTCAGAGCCTCCAGAAAGAACTATCTCGATTCTTTCTCCATCTTGATTTCATAAACTGGCCTTCAGAACTCTAAGAGAATACATTTCTGTTGTTTTAAGCCACGAAGTTTGTTAAAGTAGCCCTAGGAAACCAATATACAAGGTATCTCCAGGTAAATGTTATTTTCAAAGCTTACCACTCTCACTTTTCTTGTAGCGTACCGGGGCGAGGGAATAGAAAACAGATTACCTGGCTAAATAAGAACATCATTTTCCTCAGGCACTGAGTCCGTTTCTGCTCTAGAGACTTTTGCTTCTCGGTCCAGACCCCCATCATCTTTTTCTGGTAGCCATCAATTCTGTTCAGCATTATGTAAAGATTCTGGGTCTCATAACCTTTCCCACTGTTTTGGATGGCTAGTAATCTTTTGATTATGTTGTTTCTGGGAAAAAAAATTAACAAGAATTAGATTGATATAATTACTGACCTTAACTCAACAAACCTGGCCTTAGTTACTTCAATTCTCATCTCATCCTTAATAAGTAGAGAGGGATGGGATAGAGATGGGAGGCTTACTTAATCAAATCTTAATCTAGTTCCATATATGACTAAACTTTCAAAAATCTATGACTGTCAAATTTTTATTAACCCTTCACAGTTTAGTATTATAATAGTGTTTTTATTATTATTTAAATACATTAAAATTCTAGTATTGATATGTACAAGACATAATCCTATATAATAAAAGGGTAATATGCAAACTGACGCTAACAGCAGAACGACTGGGAATGACTGGTCACTATGACACACACTGACCACCATGGGTTAGACGCTCAGTGCAGGAGCTGCCCCCTGGTGGTCAGTGTGCTCCCACAAGGGGAGCTCTGCTCAGCCACAAGCCAGGCTGACGGCTGCCAGTACAGCAGTGGTGGTGGGAGCCTCTCCCGCCTCCTCAGCAGCACTAAGGATGTCTGACTGCAGCTTAGGCCTGCTCCCTGCTGGCAAGTGGACATCCCCCGAGGGCTACCAGGCTGCCAGAGGGATGTCTGACTGCCAGCTTGGGCCCAGTCCCCCAGGGAGCGGGCCTGAGCCAACAGGTGGACATCCTCTGAGGGGTCCCAGACTGCAAGAGGGCATAGGCTGGGCTGAGGGACCCCCCCGAGTGCACAAATTTTTGTGCTCCGGGCCTCTAGTTCTATATAATAAAAGCCTAATATGCTAAATGTTTGGTGTCCGGTAGTCTGTTCAACCAATCAAAGCGTAATATGCTGCCGAAACTGGTTTGGCTCAGTGGATAGAGCGTCGGCCTGCGGACTGAAAGGTCCCAGGTTCGATTCCGGTCAAGGGCATGTACCTGGGTTGCGGGCATATCCCCAGTAGGAGATGTGCAGGATCAGCTGATCAGCTGATCAGCAGATCAGCTGATCGATGTTTCTCTCTCATCGATGTTTCTAACTCTCTATCTCTCTCCCTTCCTCTCTGTAAAAAATCAATAAAATATATTTAAAAAAAAAAAAGCGTAATATGCTAATGATATGCTAAGGCTGCTCAACCGCTTGCTATGACATGCACTGACCACCAGAGGCAGACAGTTGAGTAGTCAACCAGTTGCTATGATGTGCACTGACCACCAGGGGGCAGATGCTCCTACCAGTAGGTTAGCTTGCTGCTGGGGTCCGGCCATTCAGGACTGAGGGAGCCGGGCCAGACAAACCTGGAGCCCTCCGCAGTCCCTCCCCAGCTGGCCAACGTCCCGCATCCCCTCACCCCTGGCCCCGATCGTGCACTGGTAGGGGTCCCTCAGCCTGGCCTGTGCCCTCTCCCATCAGGGACCCCTCAGGGGATGTTGGAGAGCTGATTTTGGCCTGATCCCGCAGGCCAGGCCGAGAGACCCCCCAGTGGTGCACAAATTCATGCACCGGGCCTCTAGTACAATTATAAAAAAGACAGTGTCTTTGCCTTCAGAGCATTTCAAAGCCAGAATAGGAGACTAATAAATTAACTATGTCAAAGAGAGAATGAAACAAATGCTAAATAAAAATGTAAACATGCTATTTGAATAAAAACAAATGCATAATTAGTTATAGTAAGAGAAATAAAGAAGGCTTTATAAGAAGATGTTGAATAGGATCTTGAGGAATAGTCATAAAAATGTATTCTCATCCTAACTGGTTTGGCTCAGTGGATAGAGCATCGCCCTGCGGACTGAAGGGTCCCAGGTTCAATTCCAGTCAAGGGCATGTACTGTGATTGCGAGCACATCCCCAGTAGGGAGTGTACAGGAGGCAGCCGATCGATGTTTCTCTCTAATTGATGTTTCTTTTTTTTTTTTAATTAAATCTTTATTGTTCAGATTATTACATTTGTTCCTCTTTTTTCCCCCCATAACTCCCCTCCTCCCAGTTCCCGCCCCACCCTACGCCCTCACTCCCCACCCACTGTCCTCTTCCATAGGTGCACGATTTTTGTCCAGTCTCTTCCCGCATCTCCCACACCCCTTCCCCCCCCAAGAATAGTCAGTCCATTCCCTTTCTATGTCCCTGATTCTATTATGATCACCAGATTATTTATTCACTTGATTCTTAGATTCACTTGTTGATAGATGCATGTTTGTTGTTCATAATTTGTATCTTTACCTTTTTCTTCTTCTTCCTCTTCTTAAAGGATACCTTTCAGCATTTCATATAATCCTGGTTTGGTGGTGATGAACTCCTTTAGCTTTTCCTTAATCTGTGAAGCTCTTTATCTGACCTTCAGTTCTGAATGATAGCTTTGCTGGATAAAGTAATCTTGGTTGTAGGTTCTTGGTATTCATCACTTTGACTATTTCTTGCCATTCCCTTCTGGCCTGCAAAGTTTCTGTTGAGAAATCAGCTGACAGTCGTATGGGTATTCCCTTGTAGGTAACTGAGTTTCTTTCTGTTGCTGCTTTTAAGATTCTCTCTTTGTCTTTTGCTCTTGGCATTTTAATTATGATGTGTCTTGGTGTGGTCCTCTTTGGATTCCTTTTGTTTGGGGTTCTCTGTGCTTCCTGGACCTGTAAGTCTATTTCTTTCACCAGGTGGGGGAAGTTTTCTGTCATTATTTCTTCAAATAGGTTTTCAATATCTTGCTCTCTCTCATCTTCTGGCATCCCTATAATTCGGATGTTGGTACGCTTGAAGCTGTCCCAGAGGCTCCTTACACTATCTTCGTATTTTCGGATTCTTTTTTCATTTTGCTTTTCCAGTTGGGTGTTTTTTGCTTCTTCGCGTTTTGAATCTTTGACTTGATTCTTGCGCTCCTCTGGTCTGCTGTTGGGTGTCTGTATAATATTCTTTATTTCAGCCAGTGTATGCTTAATTTCTAGTTGGTTCTTTATCACAACATCGAGGGTCTCATTAGATTTCTTGAGGATCTCACTACATTTATCGGCGGTCTCACCAGTCTTTTCGAGGGCCTTACTAAGTTTATTGGCAGCTTCTAGACAGTTCTTGAGAGACCTTAAAAGTGTGGTTTTGAGCTCTATATCTTCCATTTCTGACATTTGTGTTCTGTTTCTTTGTCTCCGCATTTTTTTATCTTTTCTTGGTGCACCCCCTAGTGGTCTTTGTGTGCAGTCTTGTAGTTAAGCCTAGATTGTTGTCGGTAATACCAGGGGTGATTTGACCTTCAGGCTAACTGGCTATGAGAGTCAGCTGTGTCTGCAGTGGGAGAGCTTCTGTGCTGGATCTCTAGGGCGGTGCTAATCTAGCCTTTGCCTGAGGCTATCCGGCAAATGGTTCTGCGCCGGGCTTGGACGGGGCGGGTCCCTCATTGATGTTTCTAACTCTCTGTCCCTCTCCCTTACTCTCTGTAAAAAATCAATAAAGATATATATTAAAAAAAATGTATTCTCATAGCATACCACCATGTTTGGGTCTCCTAAACAGATAGTGTTTCACCATCCCCATACTACAGGAGAGGAAAGAAATCTGGGCAAAAAAAAATTTTTTTTTTAAAAATTAAAGATTTTTGAAGTGATTTTTACAGAGAGAAGGGTGAGGGGGGAGAGAGAGGCAATTAGCTGCCTCCTGCACGCCCCCAACTGGGGATCAAGTCTGCAGCTGGGTTATATGCCCTCACCAGGAATCAAACCAGCAACCTCTTGATCCATGGGTTGATGCTCAACCACTGACCCATACTGACCAGGCTAAATGATTTTCTGAAGTCACATAAATAAATAGCATATTTGGGAAGCAAACCTAGATCTTCTCTCTTTTCAGAATACCAATATTTCTCAAAGTGTGGACTGAATCATTTGTCGGGGAAGGAGGAAATGCCTGTTAAAAATACAGATTCCCTGTAAAGGTGGGCAGGAATGAAGCTGGTCAAATGTACTGCAAGGGTTTGGTACCTGTTGCTGCTAGCAAAGGAGAGGCTGATACCCACTTCTAACGCACTCCCTTGAAAGAGGCCTGGTTGCTGCTCTGCCACAAAGGGAACTGATAGAAAGGCCAAAAAAAAAAAAAGCAGAGCACTGTAGCTGATAAACAGGGTTACCTAGAAAGCCATCAGGACTTTGAAGTTCTCCAAGAGAGGAGGAATCTGAATCGGAGACTGGCGAGGACTGGGTGGCTTTTCTTTAACAATCTCTTTCCTTGAGAGGGCTCCAGAGGGTGCACGAGGACATTTGGCCGTGCCTCCGCGCCATCTACGAGACCAGCCCAACCCCAACTCCTCATCAGCACAGACCAGGAGATTGGGTCCACGTCAGAAGGCACCACCAGGAGACCCTAGAGCCACGTTGGAAGGGTCCCTACACTGTGGTGCTGATGACCCCCACCGCTCTCAAGGTAGACGGCGTCGCGACCTGGGTCCATCCGGAAAGACTTCATCACCAAATGGAGCATCGATCGAGATCAACGCAACCCGCTCAAGCTCAAGCTACGGCGTGCTCGACCTGCCTGATGCCAGTAACATGACTTGGGATCACTCCTGTCACCAGGAGCCCCCACAATACTGTGTAATAATGCCTGCATCTTCATGGACATGGATCCAAAGAGACAAGGACAATTTATAGGATCACATGTTTAGTAGCAGAAGATTTGGCTGCCTGAAGCGGCCATGATGCCAATATTATGTTTCATTGTATTGATATGTTATATTAACCTTTGATTCTTTTGCAGGTTTGAATGTATGTTGGCTGTCCTGGAAGGGAGCTGTGTGGGGTGACCCCCAAAAGTAAAGGGTGCCTAGCTGCCAAGAGGGCAGGTGCCCAGCTGGGCAGGGAAGGGTGCCCATCAGGTTTTGGTCTCTGTTGAGAGACAGCTAACAGTTGGCAGCCTGTAATACTGTCTTGCAGACCTGAGTCACCATGCCCATGTCAGGGTTAGTAAAGCTGGAAAAAGCCTGTTTAGAATAGAAGGTCTGAGGCATAGTTATGCATAGAAAGAAGGTTTTATACCAACAGTTACTGTTTTG